TGCTCGCCGTGTAAATGAACATAATTGGTTGTTACTTATAGATCTAACCAATCATATACAATCGTTCGATAAGCCTAGCTGCTTTGCCGTTTTGAACTCGTCCATTACTTGCTTTGTAGTCTGGGGGTCGATTCTACATCTTTAACAAGGGGATTCTGTATTTTGAAATATATTTTAAAACAAGGTGAAAATTATAAAAGTGAGCAAATTTACTAGAATACTGATTATTTTATTGGTTAACACCTAATAAATTTGCTCACTTTTGTAATTTTCATCTTGTTTAAAGATACAGAATCGATCCCAAAGTGAAAATTACAAAAGTGAGCACATTTACTAAGTGTTGACCAATGAAATTATTAGTATTCTAGTAAATTCGCTCACTTTTATAATTTTTATAATTTTCACCTCGTTTCAAGATACAGAATCGAGTCCCTGATTTGATGACATATATATTCTTTCCACCATGATTTGACGTTTGACAGATAACTACAAATTAACACAATGTCAATCGTTTACTCAATCACACAATTGTTTTTAATCTTTTCAAATAAGCTGTGAAGATAGTACATAATAAAAGAGATGCGATCCATTTGACGCTACAAATACTTTGAAGCTTTTGATTGATCAATCGGAAGAAAGAATTTTATTAATTAACTAATCAAAAAAATGCTTCAAAATCTTTTGTAGCATCAAGCGAACACATCTAAATTAATATAAATGTTTTTTGTTGTCTAATCTTACATTTAAGAGCATTTTAACTTTTTAGATACTTTAGATATCACTTATAATGAATACTTTATAAACGAATTTTTGAAGAACATAAAATTTTTAATTTACTATATATAAATAAATAAAAATGCCTTTCAAAATAATTTTCAAGGAATGCTGAAATGGAATATCTACTAATTAAATTTTTCTTATATTTTTGAAATGACTTTACAAAATTACAAATCTTTATAAAATTAACGTAGTACGTATATATACTAATAGTTGTTAGTAGAATACTGAGAACAAAAAAGTAAAAAAATTACATTTTTTAACTTTTGTACATGGAATTGTTAATTTATAAAGCATTTTAGACTTAAATGATAATAATGCCAATAATTAGTAATATTTCTGGTTCAATTAAGAGGACTTTTTTTTCCTTCGAAGTTTAACCGTTGCTTCAAAATTTTCTTAAAAGTAAAACTATGAGTTATACATCATATTAAAATTCACATTCATACAGTAGATCTCCAAGAAATATCCTAAAGACATCCAACATGAACATTCCTTTTCCTCTGAATCCTAAAAATATTCTCAAGTGTCTCTTGGATAAAGTACTGTATGGGCAGTAAATTTTACTTTAAAAAGTATATAAAAATGGGGCATCATTAATAAATTTTGATATCAAGAAAAATAAAAAAGTAAAAGTCCAAAGTTTTTAACAATTCAACATTTATTTTGTTATTTTGTAACGTTATTTTTATTTTTTATTACTTATAAATTTTTTTCTTAATAAAAATACAAAATAGTGATAAGTGGCACAAGAACCGCCATCTAACGAGCTAAAAACGACAGGAACGGGCCCTCCAGAATAGCATATAAACACATAAACTTGTCACACCACTACTAATAACGGGTGACGCTGACGTCCGATACTCCAACGCTCCTCACTCCTGACTCTTGTGTGCCGTGCTTAGCACAGCTATTGCGCGCGCAATGAATCAGACCGCGCCAGTATCGTGTATTCCTGCAGGGAAGATGTCGAAGACGAAGAAGGTACTGGACGAAGCCCGGGAAATCCAGAATCCCGAGCTGGACCTCGCGGACAAAGGCATCGCAACGTTCGAGGAGATGCCGGGATTGCGTGAGTCTCATCCAAGCGTCCTCGCGAGCGCGTCATCGCGAGATCGCCAAATTAGGCAACTTGTCGCTGGCCTCCGCTCCGCGATCCGCACTACGGCCATCTGCGCGGATCAGATCACGTGGGCGACTTCGCGTATGCGCGCGCGCGCGCTTACTCGTCCGCCTTTTAAATTTGACAATTTGCGTTTGACATAGAATAATGCGAACGATTAAAGATAATATAATTTAGATTGCGCGAACGCGAATTTTTAAACTTACTGTACTGAAATGTTAACATAAAGAGGATTCTTTTTCCGCTTTGAAATTATAAAAATTTCAAGAAAATAGGCTCTCCTTCCTTTTAGAAATTATCGACCTAATATCCTTTTCATTCTATCTTTTTTGACAGTCAATGAATAACAAAGATAGAACGATACTTGTATCGATATTGTTTCCTAAAATGGGAAAGCAGTTATATTATATTTATTCCAAAGTATAATTTTGAAATGTTAAATATCTCTTAAAATTTGAATAGAATTTTTTCAAATTTTTTCGAATTACACATGTAAAAGAATATGTATGCTTCTTACGAATCTGAGGATGAAGTTAAATTCAATATAATTATTGAATGATTATTTTTACATATATTTCGAATATTTATCTAATTTGATATTTGTATTTATAACTTTTACTTTAGATTTGAAAATATATATATAATTATATAAATATACATAAATATACATATAAATATATACCTATTTCATTTTAAGTTCAAAAAGTGTACATTATTTCAATTATATAAAAAACAGACTTACAATTATCAAAACCATCACTAAAATAAATTCTCGAAGTACATTATAAGTTTACAAAAGCTTTTGCATGTTTCAGTGAATATGATTAATGTAACGAGGCTAACGCTAAGTCACAATAAAATTCAAGGTGAGGTATCTTTAAGCTTAACACAATTTATATTGACCGATAACTTAATTGTTGTATCGCAAAAATTGTTGTTTTGGTACAGCGGTGCCACCGGGTCTCGCCAATCTAGTCAACCTGGAGATATTGAATCTCTTCAACAATCACATCACCGAGCTGCCTATATCTCTATCGCAAATGCCGAAGTTGAGAATCTTGAATGTAGGGTCAGTATCTACTTTTTACAGGACGTGTTCTTATTCCTAATTTTAGAATATTTAACTTCCGGCAGAATGAACCGGTTAGACGTGCTTCCTCGAGGCTTTGGCGCGTTTCCGGTTCTCGAGGTGTTGGACTTAACGTATAACAATCTCAGTGAAAAGAACCTTCCTGGAAATTTCTTCATGATGGGTCAGTTACGGTTGTTAGATCGTCTAATACGCCTCTTCGCAAAACTCGCATATTAATCTGTCTTTTCTTTAGAGACTCTAAGAGCGCTCTATCTTGCCGACAATGATTTTGAGTATCTGCCGCCTGAAATCGGCCAGTTGAAAAATCTTCAAATTGTAAGAGGATTTTAGAGTTTTCGTAGTTTTACAGCTTTATAAAAAAATGTTCCGTTTCTCTCGTCGAGATTCTCTCGATTGAAACATTTCAGCTCGTATTAAGGGAGAATGATCTGATCGAATTACCAAAAGAGATCGGAGAGCTGACACGTCTCAGGGAGCTGCACATTCAGGGAAATCGTTTAACAGTTTTACCTCCCGAGATAGGTAGATAGAATACTGCAATATGTGCATGTACATAGTAGTAATTAAGTAGAACGTATATACTGCATAATTCATATTACAGGGAACCTGGATTTAGTGAGTAACAAAGCAGTGTTTCGAATGGAATTCAATCCGTGGGTTACACCGATCGGCGACCAGCTGCAAGTGGGCATATCTCATGTTATGGACTACATTCGCTCGGAAACATATCGATAGTAGGTATTTATTAGGTCGCTTTATTAGATGCAATAATTGTTGTAATTATACATTGGCTATATTCAGCAGAATGTTTCTTTCACAACTATTGAAAGTTTTCTTCTCTAAGATCGAACTATTTCTTTAAATCTAAAGTATAATCCGAAAAGCATTTATTAAGCGTTGATTTTTGAACATAGTCGAATATTTCGAAGAATTTTTGAATTATTGTTTTATACGAATTTCCTCATAATTCTCATTTTTAACACTTTAGAATTTGGACTAAGATTCTGCAATTAATCGAGAAAAGTCAAGAAATCTTGAATAAATATTTGTCATTTTTTTTAGCGTTTACAATCGACATCAAAGTGCCAAAGGTCCGCCACCTGATATTGAGAACGATAAAAGCAAGAAGATCTCACGTGCTCGTTGAGCACTTGCGCTTTTCGTATGATTCTGACCAAGTAATACTATCTTCTACCTAATCTTTTGTACGGAGATTATTTTTACAAACCATATACTGCCAATAATCGTTTATTTATACTAATTAACGAATTCAAAAATTAAATAGTACCTTTTAGAAATAGGATTATAATGAGACAAAAGGCGTAATGCACATTAATAACATTGTTATACATTTATCTATTATATATTAATATATATGTACATATTATTTCTTAATTCAAAAAAATGTATGTATAAAAAAGAAATTTAACTTTTTGACATTTTTTTATTCTCGGTCCTCCAATATAAAAATAAATTTTATATATCTAAAGGATTGAAAATTTGAATATTTTAATAATTAATTCTTTTTATGACACAACATCGATATTTTATTTAAAAATTCTATTTGAAAATTAAGGCTTACTAGATTTTTATATGTATTTTGCCGTTTCCCTGGACAACGAGAAAGAAAATCGCAAAACAAATCATCTTGTCATTAATCTGTGTCATACATTTCCGGTGCCAATAACGCTCGTTTATCCCATCTATTACAAACTAGCGAGTCTTCAAAATGGTAAATATCGAAAAATATAGCTTAATCATTTGTAGATTTAGCAATTCAAAAATTATTACGGTTTTCCGCATGATAAAATATTAAATGATTTAAGATCGATATGTGTTACTACCTTTCGATACAATTATAAATGTTAGGAATCATAAATTCAAAATTAAAAAACATGTTTATTAAATAATGAGTTTATTAAATAATGAGAGATTTGATATTTTAAAATGGTAAAGAATGTAGATTTGCCATAAGATACATTAATTAATCGAAACTAATAGCGCGAAGTACTTTCGGTCCATATCGGCCAAGGCGGCGTGCAGATGGGCAACGCTTGCTGGGAGCTTTATTGCTTGGAGCACGGTATACAACCTGACGGTATGTTGCCACCGCAAACCTGCACGAGCGATGAGGGCTTCCAGACCTTCTTCAGCGAAACAGGTGGTGGAAAATACGTACCTAGAGCAGTTTTCCTCGATCTCGAACCAACAGTAATAGGTAAACTCGTTTTACGACAGTAATTAATAATGAGACAACATCAATATAAATTTGCAACTTATCATTGTCGTTCTTTAGATGAGGTACGCACGGGAACGTACCATCAGTTATTCCATCCCGAGCAATTGATTTCTGGCAAGGAAGACGCCGCAAATAATTACGCGCGTGGCCATTACACTCTAGGCAAAGAGATCATCGATCTTGTATTAGACAGGATTCGCAAAATAGCTGATATGTGTAGTGGTCTACAGGGTTTCCTCATCTTTCACGCGTTTGGCGGCGGCACTGGATCCGGCTTTGCTAGTCTGCTGATGGACCGACTATCCATGGACTACGGCAAAAAGGCAAAGCTAGAATTCGCCATATATCCGTCACCGCAAATTTCCACAGCAGTCGTTGAACCCTACAATGCAATCCTGACAACTCACACTACGCTGGAGAATTCCGATTGCGCATTCCTCGTAGATAATGAGGCAATCTATGATATTTGTAGGCGTAATCTGGACATCGAGCGACCAACTTACACAAATCTGAACCGGCTCATTGGTCAGATTGTCTCCTCGATCACAGCCTCTCTGAGGTTCGACGGTGCCCTCAATATCGATCTCGCCGAATTCCAGACGAATCTCGTGCCCTATCCTAGAATACATTTTCCTCTGGTAACTTACGCGCCCATTGTGTCCATCGAGAAGGCTTATCATGAACAGCTCACCGTGATGGAGCTTACCTCAGCCTGCTTCGAGCCAGCTATGCAAATGGTCAAGTGCGACCCGCGAAAGGGCAAGTACATGGCTTGCTGTTTATTGTACAGAGGCGACGTGGTGCCAAAGGATGTCAACGCGTCCATCGCGACTATCAAAACCAAGAGAACGATACAGTTCGTTGACTGGTGTCCAACGGGTTTCAAGGTTTCTTTTCTAGCAATTTTTTTTCGTGATATTAACGAGGATTTTGCAGTAAATTGTGAATTGTGATTTCTAAAAATTTTACCATGTGTTATAATCAATGTAAAAAACATTTCGGAATATACATTCTGATTTACTAGTTTGATTATATCTGCAGTTTTCTACTTTAGAATATTTTACATTTTTAGTTTTAGCTTTTGACATCAATTCTGACATTTTATTGATTTGATTTGAACATAATAGGTAGGCATCAATTATCAACCACCAACTGTAGTACCGGGAGGTGATCTGGCGAAGGTGCAAAGAGCTATGGCGATGTTGGCGAATACCACGGCGATCGCAGAGGCGTGGGCCCGACTGAATCGAAAATTCGATCTTATGTTCAGCAAACGAGCCTTCGTTCATTGGTAAAATTTTTTGATTTCACGAAATTAGAGACTTGCATAAATTTCTATTTGCGAATTGTAATACGTCAGGTACATCGGCGAAAACATGGACGAAAGTGAATTTAATGAAGCCAGAGAGGATCTGGCCGCGTTAGAGAAAGATTATCAAGAAGTCGGCACGGATTCCCTGGATGTCGGTGGCGAAGAAGAAATGTAACTACCTGTAAAAGACTCGCAGTGATAATCGCATGCATAAAGAACGCATGTACTTTTTGTGGGATAGATGAATGTTTTTTTTTATTCAATCACCGTTTTTGTAGGATTTTTACATTGTTTTGTTATCTTCTTGTACATGTTTTGTATGTATTGTTTTTGTTTTAGGTATATGAATTTTTGCGTCTTTGTGATATAATAAAAGAATCTGAACTCTCTTTAGTCCGTTATATATATTCTTTGATCGGAAACTTAGGGAAACTTATTAAGTTTTTAATGGAAGGTATTTTCAAAGGGAAATTTAAAGAGAAGGAAAATGAAAGACAGAACACCACTCGTAGATATTATAGGCTTTTTATTGTGGAACAGCACTCGGCTGCACGAATTATATTACATATGTATAAATTTCCGTCGACATCTTTACATTACGGTCAGAGAAAATCTCGCATAGCGCGTAACTTTTATTTTTTCCCCTTTTTCGAATGTAATAAAGTGTAGTTCAAAAATCGTAAATGTTTAGGGGATTTATTCTCGAAAAATATCGCATTAGAAAATATTGAAAATCTATAATATACGTAATGTATACATATGCATCATATTATTTTTGAATGCTTTCATATGCGATATTTTTTGAGAATACGACTCCTATACTTGTGCGTATTACTCTGATACATGAGAAATTTAAAAGAGGATATTGCAAAGAAGAAATAATAGTCTTTCTCTGTCTTACAGACATAATAAGCTCTGCAATGCCGAATTAAATAGTCGTTAGTCACATAATCATATAATTATAATAAAGGCGATAGTAAAGGCAAAGTAGAAATATAAGAACGATGATCGAGGTGCTGCCAAGCTGACGACAGAATTAACACAACTAATTACGCTGATCACAACGATAACGATGACAATGATAAACATTCGTAATTATTATCAAGCGTCTTACCCTATTTTTCTTCATCTCTATCGTCGCTACGTCAGCGACATTTTGGAACAAATCCTTATCTCGTCATATCATATCAATAGAATAATAATAATCTATTATTATATTCTTTTAATAGAATCTTGGATTGCGCCATTCGTTGGCAGACGCGCGTAATAATTTGCATATTTTCGTATCTATAAAATTTCACGGTCTCTCTCTCTTTCCCTGTATCTACTCATTCTCTCTCTTCCGTTTAGAGGAAAAAAAGAGAAAAGCTCTTTACCTTGTTCTTTTCATTATACTTTTTGGATTGGCAGATTAAGCCTGCCACTCACTGGACTAGAGATTTTCACTACCTTTATTGCGCATCTGTTATTATATATTCGAGAAGGAAGTATCTTCCTCTCCTCATTTCTTTCGTATTTGTTAAAAATTAACTCTTTAAAAGAGCCAGATACGTCATCCCCTTTAGCTCGAAAATCGTTTTGTTGTTTCAAGTTTTCTCTAGATTGTGAAACATTTGTCTTCCTCTCTTAGAAAAACAAATCGTAAAATAAAACTAACAAATTTTCTATCGATATAATGAGGACAATTCCTTTCTCATTCATAACTGATCGAAGAATGTAGATTTACAAAGATATTTGTAAACTTTGCCTAGAACAATCTCTCTCCGAAATGTAAAATTTTACAAATGCAAGATGAGATATATTGAACACGCAAGACACTTTCTCAAAGATTAACAAGACTTTCTGAGTTGTTCAAGAATCAATAGAATCAATATTCATGTATTCTCATCTCTTTTCACGTTCAAAGAATCAAATAACTAAATTCGAATAAATTCTTAATAGTTCTATTATAAGTTCTGTTGAATTAAAAAAATATTTAAAAAAAGCTTTACTGTTCGCAATCGACTTTCAAGTCGATTGTACAGTGCTTCGCAACGTTTTGTAAAAACATGCATCTGTAGAATCGCTACGTGAAGGCCAAAAATCTTTTACTAATTATCATCAGGCATATAATCAATCCAATATCAACGAAATCCGTGTTTAAAGGACACTGAAAATTCGATGAAAATTCGCGTGACATTCAGCAAATATTGTTATCTAGATTGAAGCGATTGTCATTGTCAGGATTTGCCTGTACGCGAATATCCGTTGGAGTATCGCGAAGACCGGATAAAATAGGCGGGAAACGTTTAAGATCTTTGGTAAAAACCCGCCTGACACAATCGGCGAAAATTACGGACGCTCAAATATTATCGTCCAAGGCGGAAATAATCGAGAAAGATGAACACTATTGGATCTCGAGTCCATCACGCTCTCATCGTGGTCGGGATATGAGACGACGAAGTCCTTTCGATCGCCTTAGAAAGGAGAGCCGGAGACGGATTAAGCTATCCAGATATCCTAGGCGTCCGATCAGAAAGTTTGCGCTAAGTAATTATACGGTCCGTTAAATAATAATGCTACGAGATAATGACTATGTTAATTCACCAATCATCACTCACTAATCGGCAAATCGTAAAAATAATAGCGGTCGTGGCAAATGAAGCTACTCGCGAATAATTAAAGACAAGTTACAATGAACTGAACAACTAATAATAATTAATAGTAGCGATAAAATATTAATAATAATAGTAATAATAAAATAATAATTAAAGATTGAATTTATGGTAGTAAATAGTAATAGTAATAGTAGTAGAATAGCAATAGTTTAGAGTGATAGTAGTAACTGGTAATGGTATAATGACGATTATGTCGCATGTGAAAATATCTAGAATCGATAACTCTTTTTGTCGATAACACAATCACACAATTCGCAGTCATTCACGTTTCTCTCATTTACAAATTAGCAGACAGAATATTGATATACAAGCAAATTTAACCAACATTACAGCCTTTTATCGCTTTCATTCTCTCTCACTCTCTCCCTCTCTTTCTCTCTTTCTATTGTTCGTATCCGAGGCAATTCATCTACGCGCTCTCGCTTGATCGACAGAGGTGGCAGTGATCGCGATTTTTAAAGCACCGCTGCTTTCTTTGTGCATGGTCCACCCATTAATGTGTTAATTGACAACGACGCGATTACGCTAACATGACGAAAACTGCCTTAAATATTAATTGAGTTAAATATTCGATTCAGCGCAACTTTGCGCTTCGCAATCCCCAAGAAGATCCTATGGGAAAAATCTCGTTTCTTGGTTTATCTACTTGTTTTACTTGCTGGAACGTGCCTCGTTTGTTTTAATAGAAAAAAGAGATACGGCAGTATGAAGGCGGCGAATTCCGCTTCGATTTTGTTCGTTCCGGTAATCATGAAGGCGGCGGGCGAGAAGCGCGATGGCGATGAAGCGCGACGGATTCGACGCGGAAGGAAACCAAGACGACGGAAGCACGGTGATGGACGCGGTGGCGGTGGCGATGACGGCGCTGAGAACCAGGAAGACGTCCGCACACTCTTTCTCTCTCCATTCTTCGGTCACTCCCGAATTGTTCAAGAACGATAAATACGGATGACGTCGCGAATTGGCGCTCGGCAAAGCGGACAGTGACCGCCACCCTTGCCACGCCATTGTTGAATCGCACAGGTATAACACATACACATGTGGCCGCACATGTAAAGCACGCTATCGATACTGCGCTCGTAGCAGATAGAGCACTCGCTCAACGTCGGCTGCAGGCCTTCGCCCCATTGATGCAGATGAGATGAAGTCGCGCGTGACGATGTCAGAGTGCCATCCAGGCTCTGGTAGGTCACCGGGTCGACGTACGTCGACGAGCCGGTACTGGCCATTGTTCCGGTCAACGGTGGCGAGGATTGTCTGGAGGATCCAGGATGTGGAACTGGCGCAGGAACAGTCGCTGCCGCCGAAAGATGCACCGGTTGCGTTGATGAATTCCTGTGCGTCGCGGAAGCGTAAATCGGCTGTGGCGTGGGCGGCGGTGGTGTCGGATAACCGGCTTGGGGCGGTAGATTCACGACGAGTACTGTTCCGCCGCCCACCGCTGGTTTGAACTGCACCATCTCGGAAAATCTAGACAATTCCGTGGCGGCGTTGCTATGATTCGAAAGTTGCTGCTGTTGTTGTTGCTGCTGCTGCTGCTGCTGCTGTTGCTGCTGCTGTTGAATGACATTGGCAGGTGAGGGATTGCTCGGACGTTGCCGAGGCGGTGAGGTCGGTCTACTGGCCAACATTCTGACACGTTGAGTGCTTCCATAGGCATCCACGAACGCCCACAATTGAAGGCTCTGATCGACGTGCATGACGACATTGGGCGCACCACCATTCTTGCTCATCTGCACCTCGCCATAATGCGTGACCGTGAAGGCAATTTCGTCACCTGGCTGCGGACTCGACGCCACGTCTTTGGAGACCACCCAGTATTCAGGACGATCTAACAGCAAGTCGCTATCATCCGGCAAATCCTCTGCCGTTAGCCGTGCCGGGTCGCACGAAGTCAGACCTAGGGCTAAAGCGCCAACATACATTGGTTCTGTAGAGAGAATCTGCACGACCAATCGCTCTCCCAATAACAACGGCCGACTCGTGAACGCGTAGCCGTGACAGAACTCCGTGTCCGTACGCGTCGCCACGCACTGCTGGTTGCTGAAGCAGATGTTCCTACCCCGAGTCCTGCGGAAAAAGACAATGAAGAAGCGATTAACCTCGGCGGCACTCGTTCATTTAATGATGGGCGTCTTAGGAAATCATGAAAAGTGAATGGCAAATTAATTCTGTGCGACTGAACGGCGCACAGTGGTCACTTCGTTTATCTGAGCGAAATTGTTTTATTTGATAAAACGTGTTTGATGCTTGGAAAAATTGATGCTGAGAAAATCTCACGAAAGGATAGAAACTAATTTAAATGAATTTGTAAATGGGATTTAGGAAAATATTGAAAAAAAATAATATAGAAAAATAATATAGAAAAAATTGATTAAAATCTCATTGCGGTCAAAAAAATCACTTCTCTGCATCAAAATTTTTAATGTTTGGTTTATCCCGCCAAACGCAAAATAATGCTTCTCGTCGCACTTCGCATGCCAAAACTAAGAATGAGCACAAAATCTAAAGTTGCAGCTAGATTTAATGTAAAACAATTTAAAGTTGCAGCTAGATTTAATGTAAAACAATTATTAGGAAGTAATTTAAGAATTCTATGCAAATAACTTGATTGAATTTTCACGCCAATTCCGAGTTTTCTCCTTTATCAAGCTTCACAAAATATGTAAAAAGAAATAGAAATTTGTAAAGCCAATTTTTTAAGTCATAAACTCCTTTATTCACATTTAAAATTCTTATTAGTTTCAGATTATAAAGTGCTTATTTATTTATATTTGTAGGATCCACAGCAAGAACAGAAAGAAAAACCTCTATTTAGCAAAAACTCACTTATTGAAATCAGGGCACGAGTCGCAATAAGTGCATCTTGTAGAATCGTTCATTCCACCAACGATTCCTCACTCGATTTTTGAATAAATTATTTTTAGATTTCATACTTCCAAGTATTCAGACTTATTTTTATGCAATAAAAAAAGTTTAAAAACGTCCAATTGAATTTTTGACTTTCGCGCGCTCAAATTCACAAAAGTGACCACTATGCGGCGCAGTGGATGATTATATGCTTCCATTGTTTGATTGCTTCCAAATCAATGACTTTCAACTTTCGCGTTAATCTCTCAAAAAAAAACTATCGCGTCGAGTAATGTGAAACTTTGCTAATTTGATCAGACAACTTTAATCAGAAAGCGTAATATTGTGTAAATGACGTTTCGAAGCAGACAAGTTGATCCTAAGTAATTCTCTCCGGATAATTCAATTACGGTTTAAGTCAGCAAATAAAAAAATCTTTTCCGCAACATGTATTAATTGAATCATGAATAAAACGTGAGTGGATGATTTAACACGTTCGATGTAACATGTACTCACGAGTGGAAAGGCAGAGGCGTGAAAAGGACGCCAGGGGGTTGAAATCTGAGACCGGGTAACTCCACGTCAGGTTCATGATGAATCGACATGTTCTGCATAGACGGCACGATGATCCTTTCGACATCTCGACCGGCATTACTAGCGTCGTCCATGGCCGAGTGCCTACTATGCTGCGCATTGTCCTCGTTGCTGTGCTCGGCGCCCCTACGTATGTTGTTGAAGTGCTGGCGATTCGGATCGACAAATTCAATCGCGGTGCTGTTACCGTAGACGTCGATGATCGCCCAGAGCGGACCTCGAGTCTCGACGCCGCTGAAGAAGAGACCCTTCTCCTCGCCATTGACACCAAAATGCACGTCACCAGCCGATGTAACGTAATAGAAGAGTACCGTATCTCTCTCCGCGAACCTCTCGGCGAGGGCTTTAGCCCAGTAACCTGGCTTATTTGTCAAATCTGGGCACGCGTACCTTGGTAAACCACTTCGGAGATTGATCGGGTCATTGCTGGTAAAGCCGAAACGAATCACGCCGCTCCAATTGTCGGAAATCTCCAGGAACTTCACGCAGACCTGCACAGTTTCACAGAAAAGCGACCATGTAGAACGCAATTTGATTTACAAGAAAGAGAAAAGAAAAGAAGCCACCTTGTGAAACGATAGAGGTGCCGCTCGAGCGATCCTAAAATGGAGCTTTATTCGAGGCATCTTCGGGAATTAATTACGCTCGATTATTCGTCCCACATATTACGTCATTATACATTTTACGACTAATCTTAGATACATCATGAAATTGAAAACACGCTTAAACACCCAAAACGACGCACGCCCACCTGTCTTATATCAGTAAAGTCTTTGAATATTCGTTCAGATTGGAAGACCGGATGATTCCGTGAAAATTGTTTGAATCATTCAGCGCGGTTATACGATCTACTCGCGTTACATAACTACAGACAGACATGCGATAAGTCTGTTGAACGCGAGCATCGCCGGAGGTTTGTAACTCTCAACCTGGACGATATGCAAAACAACGACCTACGCAAAAAATACATTATTTTCATAGTCGCGGCAGCGATCCGTTTTAATATTCCGAGGAATGCGAACAGCGATTTCTCGAGCGTAACGAGAGTCGTCAGTTTCCCACAATCGACACGGGCGCCAGTCAGGATAGATTAGTGATTTATTAAAAGCCGTTACGGCAATCGAGGAATCTCACCTTCTCGCCTACTCGCACCGGTCTGGCGCTAAAAGTGACACCCTTGCAAAAACTTTCGTGTCTTCGAGCGATTGTACCGCCATTGCACAGCCTGATGTTGTCACCGTGCACGTGGTGAAACGTCAACGGTGGCAAATTGTTGGTACCCGCGTTCGAAGATCTGGGAGCTGAAACAGAAAATGATAACCGTCAATGATCAAACATCGTCCGCTATACACTTTTATGTTCTTTTATGTATATATTTCAAATCATTTAGTTTGTTTTGCAGATGTGGTTGTTTCGTAATCGATATTAATATCGTTGAATTATGGATAAAAGAATGTGCAAAAATTATCTCTGTTCAACGAGAAAATGATCTCGGTTTACACATAGCAGACAATGTAACGCTGTACAACGCTATACAACGCTGAAGACCTGTGCAAAACGGACGAGTTTTCGTTCGATCCGAGGTCATTCTCTCGTTAAACGGAATATATGCTTATTTATGCGTGTTATGTAAATAACATTCATTTACATAAGAAGCATAAATAAAAAGATTTTTATAGCTATTTGTGGGCATTATGTAAATAATATTTCTCTAATGACACATATGTATGTAAGTAAGTACAAATCTTTCTTACAAGTTGCAACGATTATGAAAAATTGAGAAAAAAATCTGTTTCAAAATCTAATATTTTTGATTTTTTCAAAACACACTCGATATATTCAAAAAGTTATTAGAGTTAGTTATTAATAAGATATATTAAAAAACTCTTGAAATATTCAATTTTTCAAAATACCCTTAAGAGAAGGTCGGATAGTATCGGACAAAGATTGTTTAAAATTTTGAACGCGAGTGACAACATTTGATAAGCCAAGGAAAATCTATTTTCACATGAGAACTAGTGTCTCTCTATATTGAGAATAGACGCAGTTGTTGTTTAGTATTAAGAGTTATTGTATTTTGTTGTGTAGTTTATTTATGCCGACACGAAGATTATTTGCAACCAAACACGTCATTTGTAAGTCGAATTTCATTTTTAGTTTGCCAAATAAAACAGCCTCTATTATTCTTTGAAATATAAATCTTTCTTGTTTTAAAACTGCTTGTTTCATACGTTGTTTATCATTCAGATGATATCAGATAATAAGATGATAGACGATAAAATAAAGGTCTGAGGTACAAGGATTCTTTATAATATTATCATATGCGTCTAACATTTTAAATAATTTTGTTTGACCTTTCCCTATCAACCAACAAAATTTTGAGACAGGCAAATAGAAAGAAGAAAGCAGATAATAATGGAATCTATCAAGTAACATATTCTTTTTTTAATTTATGTAATTTATTTTTTTTGTCCTATACCACTAATTTATAGAAAATGTAATAAAAACTTAAAAATGAAAAAATTTTGACTATTTTTAGAAAAATATAATTGCGAAGGTATTTAGATATAATGTTCTATATTATATGTATTACACCTTATTATGTATGTTACATTTAATTTTTGTCATCCAAGAAAACAAAATCTCGAAAAAAACCTAAAATGTAAAATATCCGATCTTCTGTTATTAACTCCTGGAATTTCTATCTTATACAGAAATAAAATACGCGACGTTTATTAATTTATATTTATATGAGGATGATTATCTTTTTTCTATTCAATATAAACTTATGAACATTGCATCTTTCAAGGATCGCCTCGACCTTTCGACCGATTGTTTCATAGGCGCGTAGGCGTTGGCTACGAAGGATTTCTCTTTTTTTTAAAGCGCGATGTAACGTTTGTCAAAAGAATTAGGCCGTGGATTTCTGGCGTGGTAGGGAAATTCACTTGAGGTAAGGCCACTTCGGAGAGGACAAAGAAGCTTTTCAGCGCAGCGCAAAGAAAAGGAGGGAGAAATTCGATCAGGGAATTGGAATGCAAAAGCACCTCTCATCAGGGTCTGAGCGTTTCCACTTCGGTATTTCATAATGCAGGCTTGCAGATCTGGAATGCCAGGATGTTTCCAGACGATCAGTGAGAATGGAATCGCGTCAGCAGATATCAGTGTAGGAAAATCCTCGAAAAATTTTTGTCGAGATAATTAGGTAATCATCTCATTTTCATAATTCATGCGAAGATCTTTATCTTTATATATAAAGAAAAGGCATTGAATACATGAAAAGAATGATTTTGCTGAAAGATCTAAAATTTTACTGAATATAGATTTAAAAATAATTTTATTGAAAACTCAACCTATCAAAAATTTTTTGCGGCATTGCTTTTATTATTTTTTTTATTATTTTTTCAACATAATTATTTTGATAGTCCAACAAAATTATTTTCAAATCTGTATCCAACAAAATTTTATATGTTTCAGCAAAATCGTTCCATGTATCGTTTTAATTGTTTTACCATTATTATTATTATTTTTCACAAACATTTTGATCGATCACTCATACGCAGATAACATACGATACACAATCGATAGTATTTATTAACAAATTTAATGAATTTTGAAGGAATCTTGACAGCTCGAAAGTTTCGCGTCTTTGTTCTCGGTTTGAAAGTAAACCGGGAGTGCCGCGGCGAATCGACCGGCGCTCGCGAGAGCCTCGTTCTTACTGACTATGGTAACTATCGATATGCCAAGGCGCGTAGCCGATATTGTACGTGCGCCGGAAACCGCACGTTGCGCACCGGAAGCGGCCTCCAAGAGCGGACGCCAAGTATCGAGGTACACCAGGACGATCCGCTTTCTCTGCAAAACGGATGGCAGTCCGGAAACCGCCGTTACAATATACGAAGGAGGGAGTTGATTTACACCTTGGTGACTTCATTCGCCAACATGCAGTGCTTCCTCTGTGAAAGAAATAAAAATGCGGAAGAGAAACAATGTACGGTTTTGCTCCGAAATAAGTCAATAAAAATGTATCTACTGTGTTAATCAATGATAGAAGAAACGCTTCACTCTCGAAAGAACTAAAACTCTAATAAGTTAGAATCGCAAAGAGAATAAATTAAGAAGTTATTAAATTAAATTATTTAACAAAATTAAAACTTGATCCTTATTGTTTCTTTTTCTTCTCGTGCCACACTGAAAAAAAATTTACTATATCTTAATAAATATTTTTTTAAATATTATGAGTAAATATTTACTTACATAAATATTTACATAAATATTTACTCAATGAAAAAAATTATAATTAAATCAAATTAATGGTTCTTGTATCAAATAAATATACCTATAAATATTCAATGAAATATTTATTAAGATATAGTTTTTTTTTTTTCAGTACGTACCGAATGTTGTCATATTCGCGATGACCATTTTTTTGACGGCAGTTCGGAACAACACTATCGATAATAACAGTCTGAATCACTGCACGAAGATTTTTCAGCCAAAAAATTCTTGTCCCAGGGTCTGCTATTAATCTTTATTTGCTTGATAAGGATGGAGTCGATATTTCTCAGGCTGATTTTACATTCCCGAAATAGGCAAGTTTTCAAATCTTAACCGTCCTGAAGGTCTCTTACCTCTTTCTTATTTATTTCACATTCCATTTATTTCACAATTTTTTTTATCTTCTTTTATCTGCACTTTCCTAATGACAAAAATATACGCTATCTATTCCTGAAAACATCCAGTCCATTGTTAGAAAATTGTCACGGAAGTGCGCGATATAAAAATTGCTCGATAAGGCAATTAATTTGTTAATGATTCGAGTGGTGGCGATCGATGTCGTTGAGATTGACTAAATAAATGCTATTTGCAGGTAAAAAAAGTAGTACCAATAAAAAATCACGGACCGTTTGATTTCTCACGCTCTCGATAAGGTGCTCGTATTAGGAAACACGCTAATTATAAATTCTAATTTCTTCCCTCCTTTCGCTGTCGGGGGCAGGAGGGAAGGGAAAGACGCGGAACAGACATGCTTTTTCCTCTCTCTCGCTCGGTGAGACCGTTATTACACAGTGAAATTATGTAAAAAGTAAATGCGCAAGGTTTCCAGCATTTTACGGGAGTCAGGTCATTGCGAGACGCTGAGGTCACAACGTACAACTGCGAACGGAACGATTGCGCGCTCCGTCGCAATTTTGAGTCACGTCTTCTGTTCCGCTTGTTTTCTTGCGTAGTTTTCGGCCGGTCACCCGAAAGGAGCTATCCACTGTGAGGTAACATTGCGAAATTCAGGATTGCCCAGATATAGTCATTCCTGGAAATCGCGAATCGTCCTGTTGATCGTTGCGGTCACAAGTTTTATTACGCCTTCATAGGCGTAATAAAAAAAAGGATCGAATAACATAAATCGAGTGATAATGAAGCGCTAAGCGTTTGAACATTATTAAGACACATATGGCGGTTTTTGTTGGACGATCTTATTCTTTGAATCTGTTTCTCTGAGACTCGATTACACAATGAAAAAGCAGATAGATGTCCATTCATTTGTAACGCGGAAAGAATGATTTTATTGAAGCATCTAAAAATTTAGCTAGATATAGATCTGAAAATAATTTTGTTGGCACTACCAAATAATTAAGTATGAGAAATCTTAAATATGATTAGCAATACTGCAAACAATTTTGATATTCCAGCAATCAGTTTAGACGTTCCACATAATTAATACATTTTAATAGTCCAAAATTATTATTAGATTTTATGTAGCTAAATTTTTAGATACTTCAGTCAAATCATTCTTTCCTGAAGCTATAAAAAGTTTTGACTAACCTTTCTTTTACTATTACATTTAAGACTCAACTTAAGCATGACAATTATAACATTGCAGGATTATAATCGAGACTAAGCAATGAAGAATAGATGGAAAATCGGGTGGTCCCGAAAAGACACGTCTATGATTTTCAAATGTGTGGAAAAATAATGCAAATAAATAACAAATAATGCGCATCTCACAACGAAAGTTCTATTCATGCGAATTGAAGAAGCGTCGTTGTCAAGATTAGTCGCAGCAAAAACATGAATCGCCGACGCATCTCCATCGGTTGGTCGGTTAGAAACACCCGGCCAATTCACCGTGGGAATGTTATGATGTATACCGTTGCATCTCGCCAACGTTCTTGTTGGCCTCGGCGTACCAAACCATGACTCCATTTACCCCTCGCAATGGACCGTTTATTCGCCACCGCCACGACTTCGCCGCAGACGAAAAGACGTTCCGCGGAAACAGCTGATTGTGAGCTTGTGC